CTCAAATATACCGGAAATAGAGCCCTTTAAATGCCGGTACTTCCTAGTTCTCTCAGTCCGGTGAAATGGCAGTTCTGAGATGTTCGCAGTTCTGTGAAGTCGTTGTTCTGTGAGTTGCCGTTGGAGTCGGCTGGAGAGTTTGCAGCTCCAGTCGTTTGGGAGAACAGAAGTCCAGCCATGATAAGGCTCTTCCGAGTTTGGATTATAACATCTTCCACCTCTGAGTGGAACTTCTGAAGGACTCCACTCATGTGAAGTCCACTTGCTGAGGTGAGCTTGTGTCGGACGGAATCTCGTCACTACTTCGGACGAGTCACAGCCATCCTATGGAGACGCTGGACAGGTAGCGTTAACTGGAACTCCGTATCTGCTGATTCATCTTCAGAGAGGTAACGAGTCAAGTTTACTACCGAGCGTACCGAGGAAAAGCTGGGTTCGAATGGAGAGTGTCGGTTCTGGTCAACACTCCCCCTCACACACCATCTTTTACTCCCTTTAAACTTCACTTTCCATCTTTAAACTCTCCTATCTGCTAAAATCATTACAGATAATTTTTAGAAATGTCTGAAGCAAAGTTCTCATCCACCGCCGTGTGGATAATTGATCATAATTGTACAGCTCGCTGATTAATTATGTTGTTATTTTCATATTTTGCCAAATTAATGTAAATGTTTGATGTTAAACTTTGATTCTGTAAATAAATGGCCGCATTCATTTTGATGGGTCAAAGATAAATGACGTCTCACGTTACATTTCATTAAATTCAATGCACGTTTTATTCAGTCCAGAAAAATGAAGAATCCGTTTTAATTGATGAATATATCTCAGCATCTGTTCATCTACACCATAGTCCTGTTAAGATGTTGGTGTCAGCTGGTACAGCTCTGATAAGCATCCTGATGCATGCTCAATAATCCAGGTAGAAAAATCTAAAAAAAAAAGTTAAGTCTGGTCCTCTGGACATTCAAAAAAAACAAAACAAAGCAAAACAAAACAAGAATATGTAGAAACGTTTTGTCTTTCATTTGAAAGACTGAAGAAGTCTTTCGGATGAAAGACGAAACGTTTCTACAATTTTTTTGTTTGACCTGTTGTCTGGGAGAGAAACCCAGATATATAAATCTTGGAGTAAAAATGGACTCTGATCTTACATTTGAAAATCACATTAAGCACCTGTTTAATAGTAATAATAATAATACAATAATTAATTTTATTTCAGGGCACCTTTCAAAAGCCCAAGGTCACCTTACAAAACCAATTAAAACCAGCAATTATTAAAAACAGAATCAACAAAATAATTTAAATAAGTCGCGATAAAACAACACTTAAAACAAAGTTAAAGAGAATAAGCCTGTTTGAACAGGTGTGTTTTCAGTTGTGATTTAAAAGAGGGAAGAGAGTCTGTGTTCCTGATGACAGGAGGGAGGGAGTTCCAGAGCTGAGGAGCACAGCGACTGAAGGCTCTGTTCCCCATGGTGACGAGACGGGCAGAAGGAACAATAAAATGAGCGGCAGATGAGGATCTGAAGGAACGAGAAGCAGTGGAGATGTGAAGCAGATCACACAGGTAAGGAGGGGCAAGGTTATGGATGCACTTGAACGTGAGAGTTAAGATTTTAACATTTATTCTGGCTTCGATGGGCAACCTGTGAAGCTGCTGCAGTACCGGAGTGAGGTGTTCTCTGAATGGGGTACAAGTTATGACCCGAGTTGCAGAGTTCTGGAGGAGTTTGAGTTTATGGAGAGTCTTATTTGGGAGACCAAAAAGAAGAGAGTTGCAATAATCAATCCTGGAAGTGATAAGGCTATGGACACGGATGGCAGTTGCATGAGGAGTAAGAAAGGGACGAAGTCGGTTGATATTACGTAAATGAAAGTATGCAGACCGGGTGATAGAGTTAATATGAGATTGAAATGAAAGCGTATTATCAAGTATGACACCCAGACTCTTTACCTGAGGGGAAGGATGAACATGGGAGTTGTCAATATTAATGGAAAATCTCTGCAATTTGGTTAAAGTGGAGACTGTGCCAACAAGTAAAACTTCTGTTTTCTTACTGTTGAGTTTAAGAAAATTTGAGGAAAACCATGATCTAATTTCCATAAGACAGTCCGATAGGGAGGCGGGTGGAAGAGATGAATTGGGTTTTGAGGAAATGTAAAGCTGGGTGTCATCTGCGTAACAGTAAAAATTGACATTATGTTTGCGGAATATGTGGCCAAGAGGGAGCATATAAATAATAAATAAAAGGGGCCCTAATACAGAACCCTGGGGCACACCTGCAGCAACGGGAAACAAACTTGAGAAATGGGTTTTAAATTGAATAAACTGAGTGCAGCCTGAAAGATATGAATTAAACCAAGCAAGTGGAGTATGACTGATGCCAATGGATGCTAGTCTGTTCAGTGAAAAAGGACATGAGAGCGTTGCAAAAGTCAGCAGAGTACATGTGGGAGGGAAATGAGTCCGGAGGCTTGGTAATTTTGGCAAACAGTGAAAACAGAGACTTGGAGTTACCTTCGTTAGAACTGATTAAACCAGAGTAGTATGCAGATTTAGCTGAGACAATGCAGTCCTTATAAAACAAAATATGCTTGTTATACATTTATTTGTGTATAGTGAGTCCAGTTTTTTTGAACAGGTGTTCTAGTTGGTGTCCCTTGGCTTTGAGAAGACGCAGGTTGAACGTAAACCATGGTGCTGAGCGAGAAAATGAAACAGATCTGTGTTTGACTGGAGCAAATGTGTTAAGAAGGTTTTGGAGGTTGACATTATAGTAGGAAGTGAGTTCATCAGGGGTTGAAGAGCAGTGAATAGACGGAAGGTCATATATGGCAGATGATAAAATGTCAGGATAAATATCATTAATTTTCCTAAATGTAATGTCACGAGGAGTCCAGGTTTTCAAAGCTATTATATTTACATCAAAAGAAATAAGTATATGATCAGAAGTGGGAAACAGATTGGCTTTGTAGTGAGTAGTGGTGACACCAGAACAACAAACCAAATCCAGAATATGACCTTTAGAAAGAGTAGGGAATTTGATGTATTGCTGGAGTCCAAAACTATCCAGACAGGAAGTCAAATCTCTGGTGAGAAGGTCATTGTCCATGCGAATATTAAAGTTTAAAACCTGTTTCTTCCATCTCCAAAATATCTCCAAACTTCGCCCATCTCTCACCTTTGCTGATGCAGAGAAACTCGTCCATGCCTTTATCTCCTCCAGGCTCGACTACTGCAACTCCCTGTTTACTGGTATACCCAGCAAAAACCTTCAGAAGCTTCAATATATTCAAAACAGTGCAGCCAGGATTTTATTGAGTGCTCATAAATTTGAACATATTACACCCATTCTCCATAACCTCCACTGGCTTCCTGTCACCTACAGAATTCAGTACAAAATTGCTCTCATTACCTATCAGTGTTTAAACGGAAATTCACCAGATTATCTGAAGGACCTTCTTGCTCCATATTCATCCACCCGATCCCTACGATCACAGAACAGTCATCTTCTTCTCCTTTCACGAACTAAATTAAGGATCATGGGAGATTGGGCATTCTGTGTGGCTGCCCCCCGCCTTTGGAACTCCCTCCCCAACTATCTGAGAGCTCCACAATCATTGACTGACTTTAAAAAAGGCTTATCACTGACTTTAGTTGATTTTATCACAGATTTTAGTTGATTTTATCATTGATTTTAGTTGCACTCTGTAGCACTTTGAGATTTTTGTTAATGAAAAGTGCGTTACAAATTAAATTAATTATTATTATTATTATTATTATATTCCTCTCCCAAACGACACTTATCTGGGGGACCGCAAGGCATTCCCAGGCCAAAGAAAATACACAATCCCTTCAGCGACTTCTTCCCTGGGGCCTCCTATCAGTGGGACGTGCGTGGAAAATCTCTGAAGAGAGGCATCCTAATTAGATGCCTGAACCACTTCAACTGACTCCTTTCAAAGTGGCGGAGCAGCAGTTCTTCCATGAGCTCCCTCCAGATGATGGAGCTCCTCACCTGATCTCTAAGGCTGAACCCAGCCACCCTGCAAAGGAAGCCCATTTTGGCCGCTTGTGTCTGGGATATATGTAGTCTAACTCTGTGAATGACTGTATGTATGATAATGCAATTTTGCAAGATGTCGTGCTGACAGTATGTGTTGAGAAAGGTTCAGTTACAACCACATATAATTTTAGCATATAATATGTAATTTGTAAGAGTTTTTAATATGTTATCATTTTAAACTGTTTCATGAATTCTGCACTTTGTGCATATGAAGCAAAAAAGTTTCTGGAGAAAAAAGAACTATCAGTCCACGTCCGAGCTGATAGGAATTCTTTGTAATTACACAAGCTGTTTTTTTCTTAGAATTGTTTGTTCTTTTGTAAAACCAGAAATGCCAAGGTTATACATATCAACTCATATCCCATCAATCTTACACTGTCATTGTTTCTTTTAAGCATTTAATCAAAATGTTCTAAGATCACTTTGCCCTCATTGTAATCTGCCTAATCAAGATGTCCAGTCTTTTCCTCCTTCCTGTGTGAACAATAAAAAGGCGAGCAGATGTGGAAAACCTTCGGAGTTCACAGAAACCAGCCCTAGTGTTGTAACTTCCCCTTTTTGCAAAAAGCTTTGTTGAAAATCTTACTCTGTTGTGTGGTTCTTTATTTTTATAGGTACGGGAGAAATGCCTAACATAACTGCTTAATAATAAAACTGGTGTTTTTGTTTTGGCTAAGGTAGATTATTATGGCAGCTGTCTTCTACTAGATTCTGTAAAAAATAATCAGTCGTAGATGCAAATTCAATCATTCCTCCACCCCCCCACCCCCACCCCCCACAAAAGATTAATTAAAATCTGTCCATAGGTTTATGGGCTATTTTGCTAAAAGTACAGACAAACAAACAAACAGACAGACATGGGCAAAAACATAATTGCCGTTTCACTTTGGCAGCCAGCAGAAATACAGTATGTGTGTGTGTGTGTGTGTGTACCAGTGTGAGGGGGGTGCCTCTCAGGTAAAATTAGGTTCTGAAAGTTGATAATACAGACAGCCTCTGCTCCAAGCCAGCGGTCAGACACAGCCTTGATGTAGTACTGGGAAGGTAATGGCTCAAAGATGGGGATAGTGAATACAATGTGCTGAGGCTCTCCAGTTAGCACCTGGATAAAGGTAAGAACAAGCATCAGTTATCAGCTACTATGAGAAACACTGTCCTGGGATAGTTAGTGTCCACAACCCAAACTAACCTGTTTCTTCTGCAGAAGGAAGTACTCAGAATGGTAGATGTGGTCATTGATGGGGTCCTCCACCCACAACCACCACGGCTCACCCACTGACCCGTGAACCTGATCCAGGCAACGATAAAGACTTAAACCACACAATCATTTCAAACATCTAAATTATAATAAATACGTTTGGTACTTTTTTGGTTGATTTGTATTAACATCAGAAATGAATGACCTAGCACACCTTGAAGTGATGCATATCACTCATCCAATTCATCCCAGAGGTTTCAGACAAACATCATGTTGTGTTTAGAAAAGAAAGAGTTGTAGCCTTTTTGGTCAAATATTAAAAATAAATAATCAAGTTATGTGGATCTCAATAGCACAAAATTCTTTGACCAGATTGAAATGTTTTCAGATTAAATAATTCAAATGTATTGTTTACATGGGCACAATCTGTTCATGACGAGCGTTCACGTGCAGCGGGCTTAGTTCTGAACACAAGTACTGACATGCAGAGTGGTAAACTTGCCTTAAAAAAAAAACAGAAAAAGAAGTTCTACTTTTGGGATGAACGTAAACAAACTTGAGCACCAAAATGGACCCGCGACAGGTTTGGTTTTTTTTTCCCCCCTTGTCCTGTCCGGCATTGTGACACTTAGAATTATTGTCTGAGTGTCAAAGTGATGCCCAACAGATTTACTTTCACAAGCAGAGCATTATGGCTGGACTTAATGCTCCACTTGATATATAAATTAAATTTGATTAGAAATTACTTTGGGTTTGTTTCAGATGTAATGGACATGGGGATGAAAAACAAAAAAGATAACAAAGCAGAAAAGTGACAGAAGAGTTAAAAGGTAAAGAAGGAGATAGGAATAGAGGAAAGAGAGGGATAAAGAGAACAAAAATCAACATCATTGAAGTCTACCACTAGACCTGCGGAAAGAAAAAAAAAACAAGACAAAACCGAGAAACCACAACAACAAACAACATATATAATGATACTTAACATCATTAGAAAGTATTTTATACAGTACATGGAAATACAAGATATATTTAGTGGTCTCCACAACCCAACTGAGTGTATCTGATTCCAAGTTCCAAGATGGCGCCGGTGTGTAGGGCTGCCCGTCTCTCGCTCTCTGCTTGTATTTTATTTTTGTTATTTTTACAATGGTTTGTGCAGTGTGCCGAGTCATATTTTCAGTATGATCGTCGGGCACTTTTGGAGCTCCGTACATTTGCTGAAATTCCCGCGGAGTTTTTGAACAGCGGCCAGCACTCTCCTCCACCGGTCCTATCTGAGATTCCTGCATTCCTTCTGCGTGACCCTGGCCTTTCTCCATGGGGGAAACGTCGCAGACGTCGTGGGAAGCGTGCAGGGATTTTGGTGAAACTGAGGCAAAGTGTGGATTATTCTATCAGGACTCGCTCTGGATCTGATCTTCTCCTCTCTGACCCGTGGTGCTCCCGGGGCCCGGCTGCTGGCCAGCTGCCCGCGCGCTCAGTCCATGTAAACACCTGGAGTTGTTTACCTGTGCGCCGCACCAGCAGACCTGGAGGAGCCGTTCTTCAAAACCTGTGCCCGCTGGCGCGCGCTTCTCCCTCCACGGCTGTGTCTGCGTTGGACCCTATCAGGATGTGTTTAATCAACGCAAGGTCTGTTTCCAACAAGACGTTTATCCTCAATGACTTTTTTAAAGATCAGGAGTTGGATTTTCTGTTCGTCACGGAATCTTGGATTTCTCATGGTGAGTCCAGCGCCTTGGTGGAACTACTACCCCCGGACTGTCTGCGTTTCAGAGCCCCGCGGCCATCAGGTCGGCGCGGGGGGGATTATTAACAGTTTTTAAAGCAAACTTGGCCTGTAAACAGTTGTCCATCCCGGTGTCCCGCGCCAGCTTCGAGCTGAGCGTCTTTGAACTCGGACACTGTCCTACGGTTCTGTGTGCGCTCTTCTACCGCCCACCTCATTCTAAGGACTTCATAAATGAATTCTCTGACTTTTTGGCTGATATCACACAGAGATACACTCACTTTTTGCTTATTGGTGACTTTAATTTGCATGTGTGTTGTCAGGAGAAGCCCTTAGTGAAGGACTTTCTGGATTTATTGGACTCTTTTGGCTTAGCTCAGCAGGTGAGCGGCCCCACCCAGGAACATGGTCACACGCTGGACCTCGTTTTAACACGCGATGTCTCTGTTTCTAATTTGAAAATCGGTGACAATGTTTTTTCAGATCACATGCCTGTATTGTTTGACTTCACCCCCCCTTGTCATACTGCTAAGACGTGCGTTCCTGCACGTACGCGTTCCATTAACCGTTTCACTGCTGCTCGTTTTAATGAAGGTTTTAATTCTGAGAGGATCGAACAGTTCCCGGTGTCTCTTACCACTGAGGAGCTAACCTCTCCGTTCAATCTGCCTGTTTAGATGTTCTGGACCGTGTTGCTCCCCTTAAAACCAGAAAAATGAAACTTAAATCAGAGCCTTGGCTGAATGACGTCACTCGAGCCGTTAGGCGGCAGTGTCGCAGAGCTGAACGAAGGTAGAGGAAGGACAGGCTGCAGGTTACTTTTCAAATGTTAAGGGAGAGTTGGCGTCACTATCAGAAAACCGTTAAAGCTGCCAAATGTAAATTCTTCTCTGATTTAATTGTCTCCAACTCCCACAACCCCCGAGTTCTTTTCTCCACCCTGAACTCTGTTCTACACCTCAGTGAGCCTTCACCTCTGGAAGCCTCAACTGAGCTGTGTGAAAACTTCCTCCATTTCTTTTTAGAAAAAGTGGCAAACACCCGGGCACTCATTTCTCCGCCAGCTCATGATCTGTCCATCCCATCTCAGTGTGTGGCTGTGTTTGACCACTTTGAGCCCATCTCTCTGTCTTCTCTGGAGCAGGTAATGTGCAGCATGAAGCCATCTGGTTCCCTCTTTGATGTGGTCCCCCCTCAACTACTAAAGGAAGTTTTTCCTACCCTGGGTCCTTTTATTCTTGCTATTCTGAGAGCAGTTTATCCTCAGGTGAGGTGCCAAAGACTTTTAAACATGCTGCTGTCCAGCCCCTCCTGAAAAAACCTAACCTTGACCCCTCAGTCATGTCCAACTTCCGGCCTGTCTCCAGACTCCCATTCACCTCTAAACTACTGGAAAAAATTGTGGAGTCTCAGTTGAAACAGTTTTTGGGAGATCACGCTATCCTAGAGTTATTCCAATCTGGCTTCAAATCTCGTCATAGCACTGAAACTGCTCTACTGAAGGTTTTTAATGACATTTTCATATCCACAGACGCAGGTGATTCTGTGCTGCTTGTCCTATTGGACCTTACATCTGCTTTTGACACCATCGACCACAAGATCATTTCTAGACTGGAGCAGTGGGTGGGCATCACAGGGTCAGCCCTTAAATGGTTTGGGTCCTACCTCTCTGACAGAACCTTCTGTGTCAATATCAAAGATTTTAGTTCGGCATCGACAGCGCTCCAGTGGGGGGTACCACAGGGGTCCATCCTCGGTCCCCTTCTCATGAACCATGACATTGACCTTTTCTCTCTAGCCCCGCTAGAGAAACAAAAGGTCACTAATCTGGGGGTGATAATGGACCCGTCCTTAAAACTCAACAGTCACGTACACATGATGGTCATATCCTGTTTTTTTCAGCTGAGACAGCTGTCTAAGCTGAAGCCTATACTCTCCAAAAAGAACCTTGAGACAATGATCCACGCCTTCATAACATCTAGGCTTGATTACTGCAATTCACTTCTGTTTGGAATCAGTCAGTCCTCCATTGCTCGTCTACAACTGGTCCAAAATGCTGCAGCCCGATTTTTAACTGGTACAGGCTATAGAGAGCACATCACGCCAGTTTTGGCCTCCCTGCACTGGCTACCCATTCACCTTCGGATCCAATTCAAAATTCTCATGTATGTTTTTAAATCACTGAACAGTTCTGCCCCATTCTATCTCACTGATCTTCTGCAGCCATATGTCCCACCGCGCTCTCTGAGGTAAGCAGACCAGATGCTTCTCTCAGTCCCAGAAACCCGTCGTAAGCTCAGAGGTGACAGGGCTTTCTCTGTTGCAGGTCCACGACTGTGGAATGAGTTGCCACTGAGTGTCCGGCAGGGTCCCACACTCTCAGTCTTTAAGTCTCGCTTGAAGACCCACTACTATTCTCTTGCCTTTAACACAGTGTGATTTGTTTTGGCCTGGTCTGTTCTCTACTCTGTTGGCCATTTTAGTTAGCTTCTGCTGCTATTTGTATCTGTATTTAGGCCCGAGCAGCTAAGCGCTGCGAAGGCCTATTGTAATTGTGTCGTTTCTAATTTTTTTCCGTCAAAGAGCGCTAATTTGGAGGCCTTAACATATTCGAAAACTCACCATATTTGACCCAAAATTGTCCCCCGCGAGAAATTTGAGGTATTTAATGGAACCAAAAGTGGGCGTGGCCAAACTGCTCCACAGCACCCCCTAACGTGAGATATGACAACTGGTAAGACCTAGAGAGCTGAAATTTGGTACACATGTACAACCCACTGAATCATGAAAAAAAGTCTCTTGGAGGTATGCCTTAAACCCAACAGGAAGTCGGCCATTTTGAGTCAAAGGGTCAATTTTGGCCGTTTTTCACTTTTCGTACACGGCGAATTTGAACGAACTCCTCCTAGGGATTTCGCTCAATCGGTTTCAAACTTGCGCCATTTTGCTCAGTAGGCATGGGGGACCAAAATTTATCAAAACAGTGCAAACCGACGTATGTTGAGGGGGCGGGGCCGGACCTCAAAATTATGCTTCACGCCAAAAATTTCCAAACGCTACAACTTTCACGTTGAAAAACAGAATTGCACCAAATTTGGCACAAGTCATCCCTGTCCCATGCCCGACGATACCCTGAAGTCAAATTTTGACGTCATCAAAGCCCCGCCCCCCTCAGAACAGGAAGTGACTTTTTTTGCTTGGAATGCTCCTTCCCTGACACTCTGGACCCAATCACGATGATCCTGTGTTAGAAGGCAGACAACAAGTTGGTCTGACTTGCTTTGAAGCGCAAAGCGTTTCCGCTGGAGGATGTGGGCGTGGTGGCGTGGCGAATTCAGAAGTGACGCCGTTACAATACGTT